CATCCATATTTTTAGTGTCTGAGTCGAGTTTCTTTTTACGCGCCCAATCTTCACACTTGGAGTATAGCTTTTGGAACGAGTCAATGTTAAGTGCGTCGGGCGTCCGCCAACGCGCCTGCTGCCACTCGTCAAACCAATCATTCGCATGCACCAGTATTGCCCTGAGCGCGGTAACCTTAAAGGGGAGGGGCAGTGAGTAATCCTTGCCATACTTTTCAAGATTCTCCGCTAACGCGCCCCACTCCTCAAGTCGGGTAACGGTATCGGTAATTTTCTTGGGCGGCTCAGGGTTCATAGCGTGCGTCATCTTTGAGGAAAGGGTCGCTCCGGTAACAGCCGAGTACAATGTGTAAACCTTTTGCCAAGCCATAATTCCGTCACCATCCATGAGTCCCTTTAATTTTCCCCTTGCTTCTGCACCTTCAAGCTTTTCGTTAAGGATGTACCATAAGTCTTCCTCCATTTGAGTTTTGTCTCCCTCGGTAAACTCATAATCTCCTTTGTTGTCATCCTCTGCTTGTTTAGCTTGGTTTGCCCTTAAGTATTCGCTCGCTGTTAACCGACCGTTCATTATGCGTATGATATCATCATCTTCCTCTGGGACAACTCCGTCGAGTGTCTCCAACTTCTTGTTCAACATTTTCAGTGCCGGTCGGTAACTCGGTTTTACTTGGGCAAGCGCGTTAAGAACTTGTCGTTCCAGTCTCTGAACTTTGCTCTTTCTCCACTGAAGTTCTTTAACGCCTGTAATGCTTTGTACTCGCTTATCGGTTTACCGCTCCCGTGCTTACTTCCGCTTCCGCCTTTGATTGCTTCCGAAAGCTGACCAAACTTTTCAATTAACTTCTCTTGCACTTCGCTGTTGGTCTCCAACTCGGTAACTCTTTCTACCAATCTGCGAGCATCCCTTTCAAGCGCAGCGCTTCTCTTCGTTATCGCTAACAACATGCTGTTGGTCTTCTGAGCGCTCTGTAACATTTGAAATGCCTCAACGTTCGATACTTCCCTTCGGCCCTGTGTTACTCGCTCGTTAATGAACGTCGCAAGTCCATAATGATTTGCAAGTAACGCCGTCTGAACGTAACTGAAGTCCCCGTTCAGGTACGCCTGCTCGCACCGGTCGTTGAAGCGGTTAGGGCCCACGTTGACCCATGCATCTCTGTCCGCCGGCACGTTAAGGTTGACCGGCGGGTCGCCCTGCGCGGGCCGAGCTGCAGCGGCCGCCGCCGCCGCCATGGCAACCGCGCTCCGCTACCATGCAAAACCCCGAGGAGGGTTATGCACGGGAGCTCGGTGACAGCGATGACGATCGGTCACCTTTTTCACCTCAGCACGGCGAAGCAAGTCTCGGTAGCTTCAGCCGTGAAAATACTTGAGCCAAACGGTAACGGGGACACCTTCACTCCCCAGTCACCTGAATGCTCACATGTTAACACCTCCTCCTCGTCCTCCTCCTCCTCCTCCTCCTCCTCCTCCTCCTCCTCCTCCCCCTCCTCCTCCTCCTCCTCCTCCTCCGTCGTCGCCGTCAGCGACGCTTCGATATAAATATTGCCCGTCTGCGGGCAATCTTTATATCCATATCCAGTGCGTCTTGGACTTTCTCGGAAGGGGCGCCGCAGGGCCGAGGCGCATGTGGATATGGATAAACATGGAGCCTCTTGGAGGCAGAGTATACTCCATATCCGGTGCGCCTCATGTTTCTTGGGAAGAGAGTCCGAAACTCCAAGACGCACTGGATGTGGATAAAGACATCGCCCGCACCGTCGACCAAGCGCGTCAGAGCAAGGCTCGACCGAAACCGTTGTGTATAAACAACATGCTTCAAACTACAAAAGAAACGTTTCCTTTCGTGTTATGCTGTTCTGTCTTCGTTCCGCTTTTTGCTGCAACGCGAGGCCGAAACGAAAACGGCCCACGAGGTCGCCGAAACACCGTTGAGGTCGAGCCCTGCGTTGAAAGTCAGGCCGACGTTCATGATCGATCGCCTGAGCCTGATACTCGAACACTGGGAACATGGGTTTCAGGGTCGAGACGGGACCCCGATGCCCAGCTCCATTTGGGTGAAGCTGATACTGACGGTCGGGGACAGTGTGGGCTCCGTCGTGTTCAGCCTTTTGGGGGTCTGCTTTGCACAGCGTCCACCTCGGGATCTCGGGGGGGGGGCCCACGCATTCAAGATCAAAAGCTTCGACTGCTGACCCCCCGTTGGCAATCCATTGGGCGTCATCTACGTCCACCCCGCCACCAGACCATGCCGACCAGGCCATGTGTGAATGAATGGCGACCAGCTCGTTCGCGCGTGCAGCCCCTAGGACTACCTGCAGCGCCCGAACTCCGACATGCATTCCCACGCTCCAGTTCCCGTGGGTATGCGGCCTGTCGGCCAGGGGCAAGCGACGCCGCGTGCATGGAACTTCTCGGCAAGCGTACTAGACGCGAATGGCCATTTCGAACAATCCGAAATGGGGCACAACGTGGGCAAGGCAACGTGCGCCGACGCTTGACATGAGCTTCCTGGCATGCTTCCTGGCAGCCCCACTGGCGAAACGGGCCGGTTCACCTCGCGCGAGGCATCTCGAAACCCAAAGTTGCTAGGAACGTCTCAAACGAAATTGGCCAGACCACATCGCGCGCGGAGTTGCAGATCCCATAGTTGCGAAGATCGCAAGCGGAACAGGCTGGACCACCTCTCGCGCGAGGCATCTCGGAACCCAGAATTGCGGGGATGCCTCATACGACACTGGTTGGACCACCTCTCGAGCGGAATCTCCGAACCGAGAATTGCGAAGACTGGCCGCGCACTCTGCATCTCCGAACCCAGACATGCGAGGCGTCACAAGCGAAACTGGCCAGACCATCTCTCGCGCAGCGTCTGACGACGTCTCAGAAGAAACGGTCTGGACCGCCTCAGGTCAGGGCATCTTTGAGCCCAGGGTTGCGAGGCTGTCTCATGCGAAACTGACCGTAAAATGTGGTGCGGCATCCCTGAACCAAGCAGAATTGCAAAACTACCTCTGGCGAAACTGGCTGGACCGCCTCGCGCGCTGCATCTCCGAGCCCAGATGTCTCTGGCTGAACTGGCTGCACCACCTCGCGCACTACATCTCCCAGCCCAAGGATGCGGGGCCGGCATCTCCAAACCCAGAATTGCGAGAGTGTGTCAAGACGAATTGCCCGGACCACCTCATTCAAGGGCATCTCCGAAGCCAGAATTGCGAGGATATCTCTGGGGAAACTGGCCGGACAACCCGCAATGTTGGCGGATGTCTCTGAGCGCTGTGCCCTTGCCCAGAACTAGCTTCTACTGCAACAGGACCCCAGTCAGCACAGCTGCTTGGGGAAGCGCGGTACAGAAGGGCGTGCGAACGGGAGCGGAAGGCGGGCCACGAGGCGACATTTCCAGCTGGGTTTCCCTTGTTTTGACATGCTTGAGATGGTATGTATGATAATGACATGTGCACGTGCTGACAAGACAACGAGATTCGGACAATCCCTTGGACCACCCCGCAAGGATCCAGACAACCCCTCCCGGACAACCCCCCTTGGACAAGCCTCCCCAGGATTTTGCCCATCAGATCTATCAGCAGGCTAGTGAGCGTAACGAGAGCATCCCAGACCTGGATTACAGGCAAGGCCATAATGAAGAACCTCCTACACTAAGAAACACGTGTCGTCTTTCAGACAACGTCTTGAGCAAGTGCTGGGCCGGCCCTGTGCTCGGAGCCTCGTGGATGCGCAAAGGGATACGAAGACTGGCAACCTTCACGAAATACAGAGAAGGCGGTGGGTCAGAGGAGAAGAAGGGGAATGTGCCTCGATGATTGTCGAGTGTGTGTGCTTCACCTTGGTGCAGTGGTTGAGAGCTGCGCGTGGCCACTCGGAGTCAGGCGAGCGTGCGTGTCTGTACCCCGACGCTGCGAACCGATCGTAGAACACCAGAAGAAACGACAGCATCGGAGGAGGGCACCCACCGTCGGACGAAGTGAACCGTACCTGGAGGGGTGGGGGTGGAGAGCAGGAGGATGAGTACGAGGAGGAGGGAGGGAAGAGAAGGAAGAGGAGAAGGACAACACTACAGGGAGTGCTGCGGGGACCTTCCAATATCTGGCGTGCCACGACCCACTTGCGAGCCAGTTGCAGGTCAACAAAACAAGCTGCAACTCAAAACTGGACCACTCAAACTATGGCTGGGCTCCCACCGTGCGTCCTGTGCCGCGCTGGCGAAGATGGTGCCCCCATGAGAACTGTGGGAGCGTCTGGCACATGCTCGTATTTGAGCGTATCAAATCACGTGGACCGAACAGGAACATTTGGTGACTTAGCAATCTGGTATCACTTACAAGCGACCAGCTGCGGTCACAAAATGTATGTCCTGCATAATGTGTTGGGTGGCGTTGTGCTGCGAGCCTGCAGTGTGGGCCTTTGAGGCGAAATTGTGATCCTTTCCCTGGGGTTACATGTTGAAGCGGCTGTTATTCTAAGAAGTAGGTGTCGCAGATGTCTTCACGCGTTTCCCGTCCAGCACTGCAACGTTCAAGTTGATGGTGCAGGCTACGCACGGGCGCCACAGGCTGCAGCTGCATCCAACAGCCACGCACCAGTCATTCACCTCACTCTGGCTGGTGCGCTTCACCAACTCCATCACCACGGCCGGACACCGATGCAGGCTGACTCGGATCTCTGGGCGGATCCAGCAGGTGGGCGCCTCGGTAGGCCCGACAAAAAGGATCAGGACGTCGGAGTCCCAAACACATCAAACCCCAGACCCCCGACGTCATGATTTTTTCATGACGTCGAACCCCCGAGGTCTCGACCCATTCCCCGGGACCGGTTTTTCGTCCTGAGTCGTTTTTTGACGGTCCCGAGGGCCGGTAAGGGCCCCCAAAGGCCAAAAATAATGAAAAACCTCCCGTCGTGATTTTTTCATAACTCGAGGGGGTCTGGGACCACAGAGCACTCAAACTCCGACTCTCTGCGCCGCAGCCCCCGAGCGGTGCCGCCTGGCCGTCGGGGTCCACGTGCACCACCCGGGCGCCCTCGATGTCGAAGCCGAGGGGGCCGTCCTGCAGAGACACATCTCGCCTGGCGGGCGCTCGCAGAACAGACCGTCCGACGAGCCAACAACACCCACAACCGTCTCCTCCTCCTCCTCCTCCTCCTCCTCCTCCTCCTCCTCCCCCTCCTCCTCCTCCTCCTCCTCCTCCTCCCGCCCGTCTCGGGGCTCCCGAGCCCACAGCGAGCACCACGGGAGCCCGACCCGTCGCCCTCTTGCATGACAAGCCAACAACACACACCCATACCCATAGAGGGGTCGGAGAGGGCTATGGGTGCGTGTTGTCGGATGGGGGTCCCCGCTCGAGCGGGAGCGTTCCCCAGGGTCCGACCACCCGCACCCATACCCATAGCCAGTCAGTCCTCCTCTCAACGACCCCCCTATGGGTATGGGTGTGTTGCTCGTTCGTCACCGTCGTGCGGGCACGCAGAGCACACAGCAGGCCCTTGCATGCGACAGCCCACCACGACCTCGCCAAACATGTGCACAGCGCCGCGAACAGCGACGACGGCTAACGAGCGCCTCTTCGCGATGTCGGCCTCTGTCGAGCGGAAGATCTCTGGCTCCGGGGACCATAAAAGAAAACTCCAGAGGAAGAGGAGGAGGAGGAGGAGGAGGAGAAGGAGGAGGAGGAGGAGGAGGAGGAAGGGGGGGGGGGAGGAGGAGGAGGAGGAGGAGGAGGAGGAGGAGGAGGAGGAGGAGGAGGAGGAGGAGGAGGAGGAGGGAGAGCAACCAGCCAGGGCCCACGTCGTCAGTCAAAAGCGCGACGTCCAAGGTCTGGGCTCTTTGTGCTCGGCAGCAGGGCCGTGCTCGGCAGTGGTAAACAAAAGTGTTGGTCGCCAAGGCATAGCCTACGAATGCGACGCCCAAGCATGGCAGTGGCAGTGCAGCAGTGTGTCCTGCCATCGCTCGGACGTCCATTCCTTGTGTATTTGATGGCTTCGTGCGTGCTTTTGTTTGCTCGATGATCCAGGATGCTCCTCCAGGGTCCTCGCCGAGAAAAAAATGCACACGTCCGAGCGATGCCAGGTAGGCTGCGAGCACCCACGACGCACCAGGGACATGAACGTGAGTGCGGGGGGCGGGGGCGAGCGGGGAGGGTGGGTGGGGGGGTGCGAGCACCCTCGACGTACAAAGGGACATGAACGCGACTGCAGCCATCACTGAGCAACTATCAACGTAGACACATTTGGCCAGCATTATGACAGGACCTTCAGAAAGAGCAAAGCAAACACTGCGCGTACGAGCATGAGGGGTGGGGGTCGAAGTTGTGGTGGCCTCCCGCCAGCTTTAAAAAAACTCTGGGTCAGGAAAGCAAGAAACACGTTCCTAATCATCAACTCATATCCATATCACTGCTGCCGTGCACCTCCTTGTCGCCTTCAAGACCTGGAAACCAAACCCCACTGCACTCCTCCTTGTCCTCCTCCTCTTCCCCATCCTCTGACATATTTCATGGAGCAGATGGTCATGCTCACTACTGATATGATCGGCTCGCTGCACTCGCTGTCAGGATAAACGCAAACATGTTCTGTAGCGCTGGACCATGAGGAAGACCGCTGCAAACGTTTCCCGCCCATCAAGCCTCAACAACCGTGCCGTCAACAAGATGTGACACACTATACAAGCATACTCCTGGCTGGCTGGCAGGACATCCGACTCGGGGTGCAAAATCATGGCTCTGGCCACTAGGAATGACCCCTAAACTGGTGAAGACCGCTGCGAACGAGCGAAGGCCAACAGCAGCCACCTAGGCAAAGTGATAGCTGGTTCAGCACGCCTGCACCGTGCAAACCACCGCTACGTCGCCGTGAATGCCGCCCGTGTTAGATGCACGGATGAAACATGCAGAGGACAAAACGTGCGGACAGCGCCGCTTTTGCACACCTGCCTCGGACCCTCCCCTACGTCATAGCTCCAATACATACCCTCCTCCCTCTCCTCGCCTCTGCTCCTTCCCTCCCTCCCTCCCTCCCACCTGCCTCCTTCCCCCCCTCTACCTCCTGCGTCCACCCTCCCTCCTACCTCGCACCTCATCTATTCCCCCCTCTCCGTCCTCCTCCTCCTCCTCCTCCTCCTCCTCCTCCTCCTCCTCCTCCTCCTCCTCCTCATCATCATCATCATCATCATCATCATCATCATCATCATCATCATCATCCTCTTTCTTCGCCTCATCCTCCTCCTCCTTCTCCTCCTCCTCCCTGTATGCGGCTCGCCCTGGCATAGCACCCAAGCGGGCAGCGGCACGAATAAGGCGCTCCCTCCTCCCCCGCCCCCCTCCCTCTGCGTGCTTCCTCCCTCCTCTCTCCTTCGCCCTACGTGCTGTACTGCACCCCGCGGACGCGAGCTTGGGTGCAAAACCCTACTCAGGAGGTCCGCCTTGCGCAACCTCGCCTCCCTGAGCGGGCAGTGCTAGGCCCATGTCTCGTGAGTAGTTGGGCATAGTACCGGAGCTCATCCCTCAAGCTTCCTCCTTCGTCATTCCTTTCTCTACTCACCTCCACTCCTCCCTACCCATCCGGGGGCCCATGAGGTCACCCATCCCGCCGTCCAGGCCACGCTTCCTGTGCGCGACCGCCTTCTCCCCGAGGACGCCTTTCTGCCCCCCACGACCCACCGGTATGCACGCGGGCTCGTCAGACGCTCCACCCGGCAGGGGCACCGCAGCCAACCTGGACGGGGTCGCTTCGCCCCTGTGTGTCGTCCATTGTTCGGACCTCGGGGAGGGGCGGCGCACCTGGAGGGCAACAGGCGCCGGCGAAGGATCCCGAGGGGGCGGCGGCGCCTCCCCGGCTGCACAGGCCCCTCGGAAAGGGGGCACTGCGCGTGCAGCGCCAGCCCCGAGGCAGCACCAAACTCGAGGCTTACCAAAAGAAGTTCGAGTAGATGAGGTCGGAGGATCACGCCGCATCGCCGATACACCAGCGAACCAGCGATGCGTCGGCGACGCCAGCGATGCATCGGCGTCGGCGTGGAGAAAAGTCGGCTCCGCATCGAGCCAAATCGCCGATTCATCGGCGATGCGGCGCGATCCTCCAACCCCATGTGTTACAGCCACGTGCGGGAGGCCTGGATAAACCGCCCCATGGCGGTGACCCGCGCAGATCCCCTCCCCGCCCAGCGGTGGCGCTGCCGCGGGTTCGGAATTCGCCGCTGCGCCGCCCATCGCGAGGCCCGCTTTCCGGTCGCAGCCGAGCGGCTGCCTCGGCGACCGCGTGCAAGCAGGGCGGGTTCGTGCGAAGATCGGTCAACCTTGAACGATGCCGTGACTCTCCGAGAGCGCAAAGTGTTCTGTGTCAGCTTATTCTTGGCCGCTGGCGGCGATCGACCCTGAGCGCCCGCATCAAGGTCCTTGCCGCGCCGACCATAAACATGAATCTGCCGCAGTTGCGTTGAGGGCATTGTTCCTTGCTGCTCTTCAAGGGCCGCGAGGCCCGTGAGTGAATCCATGCACCCCTGCGTGTCTCACGCTGGCCGCCCTCATGGGCCAGTGCCGCCCAGGCGCCCGCTGCGGCCGCCCTCGCGTCCCGCTCCGCCTGGCCCCTGGCCGGCGCCTCCCCGGCGGAGGCGAACCCGTGCACCTGCACGACCGCGGCGACGGGCGGCAGGGTGGGGGCCGCCGCGGGCGCGCTGGCACCCGCGGTCACGGTGAGGGCATTGAATGAAGGGCCATTGGATAAGGAAACCAGGGTCTGGAAGCCGCTGTAACTCCAATCGTGGATCGGCTATGGACATCGCCGCCGCCCCCATCTTGGGTAAGGAATCCTCCAGGGCCTGGCGCCTCCTGGGACTCTTCCTGAACAAACGCCTCCACTGTAGCTTTAGGTCGGGCGTGTCCTCCTGCAGGCGGACTTTGGACGAAACGTGCAAACTAGTCAAAAGATATCCAAGAACAAAAAAAAAACATACTGAACAGAATCGTCCCCAGACCATTCTCTTCCTATCTTGGAAGTTTCCTCCTGTAGAGGCACAAGCCCGACGTAAGACTACTCCTTAACAAAGGCCTCCACCGTAGCTGCGTCCTCGGTGGGCCGAGGAGGAGGAGGAGGAGGAGGAGGACGAGGAGGAGGAGGAGGAGGAGGAGGAGGAGGAGGAGGAGGAGGAGGAGGAGAGAGGAGGAGGAGGAGGAGGAGGAGGAGGAGGAGGAGGAGGAGGAGGAGGAGGAGGGGTGTCGCCATCCACTGCTTCGCGGGCCGCGCCGCCGCCTCCACGGCGGGCCAGGGCGCTCCGCGGCGTCTCTCCCGGGAGACACGCCTCCGTGGGGCTGGCACGCCGCGCAGCGCTCCCTCGCGCCAACGCGGCCGCGGCCCCGCCAGCACGGCCGCGGCCCGCCCCGCCAACACGGCCGGCGCTCCTCGGCGCGGGGCGCTCCCCACCCGTCGGGCCCCAGAGGAGGAGGCAGAAGAGGAGGAGGAGGAGGAGGAGGAGGAGGAGGAGGAGGAGGAGGAGGAGGAAGAGGAGGAGGACTGGGGTCCGCGTCCCTCGGCCGCTCGTAGGTGCGAGGGAACTGCGGCCGTCCGCGGTGCTGCCGCTCCCGCACGCCCCCGCACGCGCCTTCCAGCGCCGACGTGGCGGCCCGGAATCGGGCAGACCGCCGCGCCTCGACGCGGGGTGCAGGGCCCGCCGGGAGCCTGCGCCCCTCGGCGTGGCGCGGGGGCGCGATATGAAGGGAACGCGGCCGGCCGCCGCGGCCGCCCCTGCGCGCCGGCACGGTGCTGCCGCTCCCGCCCCGCACACGGGCTCCAGCAGCAAGCAAACAGATTCCGAAAATAACCAAAAATAGAAAAAAATCGCCCCCAGACTATTTTTTGACTATTTTTGGATCTTCCCCCCTAACAGGCACAGCCCCGACTTAACTCCTGCAGCACAAGAGCAATGCGCGCCCCGCGAGCCGTCTTGAGCCGCCCAGGCCGCCGTCGGACCCGCGCGGCCCTCCCGCGGCGCACCGCGGCAGTGCAACCTGAGGCTCGCTTTCTGTCGGGAGGTTGCCGCCTCAGCCACGTGGGCCTCGCGGGTCCCTCCAGAGGCGGCCTGACGGCACTGCAGCGCAGGCCGCCAGCAAGCCTCGGTCAGCGACAGCAGTCGCGTCAGCCGTGGCGCACCGCGGGGCGCTGCAGCGCAGGCCGCCAACAAGTCCTGGTCGGCCACGGCAGTCTCGTCAGCCGAGATGTCCAGGCCGAAACTAGAATTCGGACTCCAGGGTCGAACCGAAAACGAGACAGAAAAAAAGCTGCATGAGGAACGAAGCTCATCTTTGGCCTCAGAGGCGCCTGTGTGCACGAGGACCGCTGGCGGAACAACCATCAGAGCAAGATCAAAGGGCATAAGCATAGACTTTCCAGGTCTGCGCCGGATTTCTTGGATCTGCGCTGGACCCCCCGAACCTGGCACGCGGAGCGCGCCAGTGGCGGCGCCGGAGCGCGCCGCCAGGGCTGCCCAGCGCCGATCGGAGAAATCTGCGCGGGGCTCCGAAACTTTGTGCATGCAGGGCCGTGTTCCTCGAACCATGGAAGGACCTTGGGCACAGCGAGCCCAGCCTGGACCTGGACTGCTCTCCGTATACAGAAGGGGCGTTACCCTAAGGAACGATACATGAGGAACGAAGCCCCTGTCTTTTTCCCAAGGAATAACGCATAGGGAGCGATAAATAACAAATAGCGCATAAGGAACTGCAAATAAAACGCATGCAAGCCTCAGGAACGACCGAGCCCCTTGTGAAAAGCAAGTCTTCCTCACTCAAGCCGCTCACTGTACTCCTGACTAACTACCAGACCACCCCAACCCAACCCGAAGACCCGAATTTCGGGTTGGGGGGGTTCAGGGTTCCACATGTGTTTTTCCGATGTTCCCCGACCCCCCCCCCCACTGGAAATCGAGGGTCAATTGGGGCCTTCGGGTTGGGTTGGGGTGGTTTGGTGGGTGGTGAACTCCAGCGTCTCGACGGCAGCCTCGCCACAGCCCAGCTCGGCCCAAGCCCGCCGCGCCACGGGGCCTCCTCCTCCTCCTCCTCCTCCTCCTCCTCCCTCCTCCTCCTCCTCCTCCTCCCTCCTCCTCCTCCTCCTCCTCCTCCCTCCTCCTCCTCCTCCTCCTCCTCCCTCCTCCTCCTCCTCCTCTCCTCCTCCTCCTCCTCCTCCTCCTCCTCCTCCTCCTCCTCCCTCCTCCTCCTCCTCCTCCTCCTCCTCCTCCTCCTCCTCTCCTCCCTCCTCCTCCTCCTCCTCCTCCTCCTCCTCCTCCTCCTCCTCCTCCTCCTCCTCCTCCTCCCTCTCCTCCTCCTCCTCGCCCGTGCCCTTGGCGGGGCCGGCCCCGGGGCTCGGTGCGCGGAGCCACGGCGCGTCGCGCGCTCGGGGCGGTGCTCCCGAGGCGCCCGGCAGGCCAACCCGCGGCGCCATGCCGACCCTCCCTCCCGGACTGGCGACTGGCCTGTTTATTATTATTATTATTATTATTATTATTATTATTATTATTATTAACATTAGTATTATTATTATTATGATTTGTATTACGATTATGATTATGATTATTATTATTATTATGAGTATTATGATGATTATTATTATGATTATTATTATGGTTATGCTTATGATTATGATTATCAGTATTTTCATTAATATTATTATGATGATTATTAGTGCGCTTATGATGATTATTATGATTATTATTATGATTATGATTATGTCTATATTATGATTACGATTATGATTATGAATATCATTTTTATCACTACCATTATCATTATTAGTATTATGATTATGATTATTACCATGAGTAGTATTATGATTGCTATTCTGATTATTATTATGATTATGAATATGATTATGATTGTGCTTATTATCATTATTGGTATACTTATTGTTATGATTATTATTATGATTATTATTATGATTATCCTTCTAATTACGAATATGAGTATGATCTTCATTAGTATCATTATTTCTATGATTATTATGATTATTAGTATGACTATTATTATTATTATGATTTTTATTATGATTATTTTTATTAGTATTCTTAGTCTTATTATTATTGTTATGATTATGATAATGATTATCATTATTATCATTATTATTATTGTCATTCTTATTATTATTATGATGGTGATGATTATTATGATTATTTTTATCATTATATTATGATTATTACTATTATTATCCTTCTTCTTCTTATTATTATATTTATATTTATAATTATATATACACACATATATATATATATATATATATATATATATATATATATATATAGTTTTGTTCTCCAGGCGCCGGCGGCTGCTCGTCGCGCACCCGTGGTCTGCTCGCTCGGAAAAAGAAGCCGCCGCCCTCCCACGATCCGCCCCCTCTCCCATCCCCCGGGTGCCGCCCAGGGTCTCCAAGAGGTCTCCGGGCGCCCTCCGGAGGGCCCCTGCGCGGTCCCCGGAGGCGTCTGGAGGCCCTCCTCCGTTCTCTCCTCTTTCTCCTCCTCTTCTCTCTCTCTCTCTCTATTTCTCCTCCTCTTCTCTCTCTCTCTCTCTCTCTCTCTCTCTCTCCTTTTTTGCCTGCTTCCTTCTCCGCACGTGCGGGAAATATCCCGCCCGCGCACTGCTTCTCACACACACACACACCAAAAGGTGTAAGTTCCCGCATGCTTGTACGTTCCTATTGTTTTCGCAGTTTCGAAATGGTTCATCCATTTTCTGGATCCGAGTCCTTTCTCATCGTTGTCGCCCCCCTCATTCCCCCTCTTCTGGTTTCCCCCTTCTCCGTTTTCCCCTTGTCCTCTTGCTCCTCCCGCTCGTTCCACTCAAGCTCATGCTGCTACTGTTCGACGCCGTCCTCTTCTTCCACCTCCTCCTCCTCCTATCCTTATTCCTTATTAGAATATACTCCTACTCCCCCCTCAGGCCGGCCATTAGGGGCCGCATCCGGGGGGTCCCATCCTAACCTGTAAAAAACAATACAAAATCAACATTTTTCTTATTTTTTCCTCTCGACATGGACGTCCTGTCGTCCACGGCGATAATCCATTGCAAAAAATACCACAAAGAGCACACGCGCGCGTTCATGTCAGAATCCTACCGAACACCTTGTGTTTGCAAGCATTTCAACATAAAAACATCAAAAACCCAATGCTTTTTCACAAAAATTGTACAAATTTCCCGCCCGGGCTCTCTTGCTGAAATCATAGGAAAACCATAGGAATCTGAAGAATTCGGTCAAATCCAGCGATTTCGCGTCATCGCGCGGTGCACTCGCGATGCTCTGTCATGCACCCAGGCCGCGAATCCTGTGCAAAAAATACCACAAAGAGCACACTCGCGCGTTCATGTCAGAATCCTACCGAACACCGTGTGTTTGCAAGCATTTCAACATAAAAACATCAAAAAACCCAATGCTTTTTCACAAAAATGCTTTGGGGTGTCCTGTCAGACCGTCGGGCTTCCTCCGGCCACCTCTGGCTTCCTGCGGTGTACCGGGCCATTCTCGACTCGTCTGGCAATGCGTGCGCGGCATTCAACACGCGCTCGCCAGTTCCCGTCGGCAACCGCCATCGCGGCCGCATCAGCTGTACCAAACCGGCTGGCCGGTGTGACTTCGGCCCCCAGTTGTGCCAGCTTTGCTTCTTATGTTGTGGGAGGGCGGGTGGGACTGGGCATGCCATGCTTGACTCGCTCGAGCTGGCTAGCTTGACTCCTACTCCTACTCCTACTCCTACTCCTCCCCTCCTACTCCTCTCATCATCATCATCATACCTCCTCCTCCTCCTCCTCCTCCTCTCCTCATACCCCTCCTCCTCCTCCTCCTCCTTCTCCTCCTCCTCCTCCTCCTCCTCATTCCCCTCCTTCCTCCTCCCTTCCTCCTGCTCACCCTTCCTGCTCGTCACCCAAACCCTCCTTCTCCTCCTCTGCACGCCGCTCCCAGTGTCCGACTACGCATAACGCAATGAGGTCGTGCTGGGAGCTCCAGGCTCGCCATGACACGTGCGCGCGGATAGAACTTGGCGGCGCGCACCAGGGGGTGGGGGGAGGGGGGAGGGCTTCTTAGAAGCAGGCTGCTTTCTTAGAAGGCGCCGGCCTTACATCTATAGAGAAGGCCCGCGCCTTCTAAGAAGCCCGGGTGCTTCTAAAGCCCTCCCCCCTCCCCCCACCCCCCTCTGCGCGTGGCTGAAGAACACAAGCAGCGCAGTGGTGAGGGATGGTAAAGGATGGTAAGGGCGTCAGATGTGCCGCGAGCGCAGCCAGCTTGTCCCTCGCCCCCCTCTCCTGCCTCCTCCTCCCCCTCGATCCTTCTTCCTCCTTCCTCCTCCTCTCGTCGCGCCGAGGGCCTCCGTGGGGCCGCCGCGCTGTCTTCCGCGAAGAGCCCCTGCATGCCGGCCGCCAGGCCCGAGGCGTTCTTCTGGAGCTCGGCGGCGTTCCTCTTGAGCTCTTCGGCCTGGCGCTTTGCCGCCTCCTGCAGGGGTCGGCTGACGCATCGAATCGGCAGAAGCCGGATCGGGCGAACTCGAAATCGGAATCGCGAATCGGAATCCCGGAATCGAGTCGGTTTGAAATCGGAATCGCGGAAATCGATTCGAATCGAACCAGCGGAATCGGAATGACCCCTGGGGGGGGGATGATGAGGGGGGGGACGAGGTGGAGGAAGGGGATGAGACGGAATGGAGGCGTAGGAGGGGGAGGAGGAGGAGGAATGGAGGAGGTAGGAGGGGGAGGAGGAGGTGGAATGTGGGAGGAAGGAGGAGACAAAACGAGTCTGGAGAGGAGGCGAAGGGGGAGGAGAAGGCGACGGGGGTTGCGGGAGGAGGCCGGGCGTCGAGAGGAGACAAGGAGACATGGAGGTCGCAGAGCGTCGAGAAGTGATGATGAGGAGGCAGGGCAGCAGCAGGTGGAGCAGCAGCTGCAGCAGCAGGGCGAGGCGTGGCGCGAGAGAGGATGAGAAGTGCAAGGGGGGCGGGGGCTGAGGCAGGATGGGGGGGAGACTGAGGAGGGAAGAGCCCAGGCCTTTCCTTTTTTGTTGTTGTCAGAAGCTGCGCGTACCGACAATATGTCCCCAGGAGTTCCTGTGACAGCGGATCGGGCTCAAGGAAATTAGCGTAGCAGCGACAGGCAAACAGCACGCGAAAGGTACGCAGCGCCAGCGAGAGCCCGAGTCCAGCGCGCCGAACCTCAAGTGTACGGGGAGGAGCCGAGACCTTTCAGGACCTTCTGCGTGTCCAGGGTGGCCGAAGTACACCACATAGACGACCCTGAGCCATCCCGAGAGAGAGAGCCGAAGCCGGACCTGCCCATTTTCAGAATCTTTCCCCCCCCTTGGCCCCGCTGACGGCTGTGTGGACGAGGGGGAGGGGACCGGGCACCAGAGCTCGATACATAGAGGAACAGAAAACGGCATAAACGTAAGCTTTCGGAGCTCCGCGCGGATTTCTCGGATCGGCGGTGGAGGCGCCGCCCGGGGGGCCCCAGCTCCGATCCAAGAAATCCGCGCGGAGCTCCTACACTCTGTGTGGATGCCGCTTCGTGCCCTTCGACCGCGGTCAAACCCTCTACGTCAACGCCAGGATGCTCGTCCCCTCCAGATTCCGGACCCTGGGGCCTTCCTATATAGGATCGGCTCTCATCGCATCGCATCGCATCGCCGGCGGCACGAGAGCTGTCTGGAGCATCACGAGGCGCCTTCACCCCTTGCGGCAAGCACCTGGACACCTGCTGTGGAAAGCTGCCGCACTGGCTTTTCAGGAGGAGGAGGAGGAGGAGGAGGAGGGGGAGGAGGAGGGGGAGGAGGAGGAGGAGGATGAGGAGGGGGAGGAGGAGGAGGAGGAGCTCTTTTGACGGTCCTGGAGCCCAGGACGGGCCTCCGAGAGCCGCGCAGCGGCCCCACACCTCTGCAGGACCCGCGTCCCTCTGGGCCCCTTTTTTCTCGGAGGCAGGTGCGGGCATTACGCACGACTTCTGCCGGGAGCCTCGCCGGTATGCATGCAGTGCCGCACCCTGGGATATCCGCCCCGCTGGGCCTCCCCCGAGAGCCATCAGCCTTGGGTGCTGCGCCAGTCTCAGCTATGTTCTTGCATGCAGGGGCGAGCACCTGGCCGCACACTAAAGGAGCTAGCGCTTGGGGCCTGCCAAGCCAAGCCTCGCAATGATTGATCCCTCTCTCTCTTGATTTGAATGTTCTTCGGCACCGCACAGCCGAGCACCAAACACTGAGAGTGGCAACGTTCGTCGGCGACCTTCAAGCGCTGACAGGTTGAGCGTTCGGCCTCGGCCACCGGCAACAGAACACCCGCCGCACCGAGACCCTGGCACTGGCCAACCTCAACCACTGGGCCCGTTCGCGAGCGGGCCGGGCCCGCTTGAGACCACCCCTGCCGGGCTGCTGCCCTCAGCAGAATTCGGCCACGGCGCCCGCGGCCCGGGCCGTGCCTCCCGCGCACCTCGCTCGCCCACCGGCTGATGCGTCGAGGCAGTGCCTCCGTGGCATCTCCACTGTGTCTCGGCGGCGAGCGAGGGGGAACAATGAGAAGGAGAAGGCCTTCTCAGAAGGCGGCGGGACTTCTCAGAAGCCCTCGCGCCTTCTTAGAAGTGTTTTCGTCTTCGGGGAGGCTTAGACAACTTCTCGGAAGGCCGGGAGACTCGAGCCTTCTGAGAAGGCCTTCTCCTTCTCGCTTCCCCCCCTCGCTCGCCGCCGAGTGTCTCCGCTCCTCCCTCCCTGGGGAGAGAAGCGGGAAGTCGAGGGCCCCCGACGTCGTGATTCGTCAATGCTCTCTACCCCCAGGGGTCTCGGCCTGCTCCCCGGGATCGGCACTGCATCCTTGGTCGTCGCTTGACTGTCCGAAGGCCCTTCGAGGGCTCCTGGACGCCGTGAGTTGGAGCAAACCAGCCGTCGTGATATTTTGGTGCCGAGTCATGGACAAATCGCGACGGATGTTTTTTTTCGCCGTTGCCAGCCCCCGCAACCCTTTTTTCCCAGCCTTGGGCCCTTCCAAAAACAGCTCAGGGCGAAACACTGGTCCTTGGGAATGGGTGGGGGACTATGGGGGTCGACGTTATGAAAAAAATCCGCCGACCCGTCGGCGTGTGTGAGACGCTGTCGTCTTCGTCGTCGTCGTCGTCGTCGTCGTCGTCGTCGTCGCCGCCGTCGCCGTCGCCGCCGTCGCCGTCGCCGTCGTCGCCGTCCTAAGATAAGTGAGGAACGAACAGGACGAAGAAACGTCGTACTTAAATGGACTCCCTTCCCCTCTTCCCTTCCCTGGGGATTGACGCAAGGAACAAATCATGACGCTAGGGGCCTGGGCCATCCACCTGCTCCCAGACCCTCCAACGTCTTCCCTGAGAGCCGACGTAATGCGTTTTTCAGAACTGAAGGGGCCCAGGGACACACACACACACCCACACACCCACACACCCACACACCCACACACCCACACACCCACACACCCACACACCCACACACCCACACACCCACACACCCACCCACCCACACACCCACACACCCACACACCCACACACCCACACACCCACACACCCACACACCCACACACCCACACACCCACACACCCACACACCCACACACCCACACACCCACACACCCACACACCCACACACCCACACACCCACACACCCACACGCACACGCACACGCACACGCACACGCACACGCACACGCACACGCACACGCACACGCACACGCACCCGCACACGCACACGCACCCGCACGCGCACGCGCACGCGCACGCGCACGCGCACGCGCACGCGCACGCGCACGCGCACGCGCACGCGCACGCGCACGCGCACGCACACGCACACGCAACACGCACACGCA